GAAGTGACAGGGCAGGGACTGTGACCCACATAAAGAGTAACCACTACCCAGCTCTGTTCCTTTGAGCACTGTACTTCCTCCAAGAACAGGGAGCTGCCTACAAGCACTCCACCAGGGATGCTCTACGGAGCTGAGAGCATCTAGAGGACAGGAGGCCGGGGCTGATGTGGGGACGTGCGCAGGCAGTGAAGGCTGAGCCCACAACGTACCACGCTCCTCGCTGACCGTGTGACCTGGGGCACACTGTGGGACCCCTCTAAGCCCCAGGCTCCACATCTGTAGGATGGGCATAGCAACAGGGGAGTTTGTGAGGATGAAATGAGATAAAAGGTGTGTGACTCTCCTGGCACAGGGCCTAGCACGCGGGAAGAACTGGATAAACGCGAGCTGGGATGGTGATTGCTAGTAAAACTGGGTTTTTCCAAACCCGAAAGCTATGGCTCTGCTCTAATAACGTCTCCTTTCTATCACACACAACACGCAACACTTACAAGGGGAAGAAAGGCAAACTCTTCGTCACCCCAGCCGTCTGTGAAACCAGTGATGATCAACTTCCATCAGAGCAAATCATCACGTGTCACATGCTGGACAAGCTTACACACGTTCTTTAAAACGGCAATTATTCGCTATTATACAACAGCACAGTGTTACACTGATGTAAAATATAATGTGCACTCTTCAATATGTTAGAGAAATAGAAATAAATTACTGAACGTTTTACCTTTCTACGGTGTTTCCTTAAATCACTAGGCTGAGAGATGCATGCAAAGAAATAAAGAGAAACCAGATTTATTGCAGACTCTGACATTAAAATTTAAGGATCAGCACAGGCAAAAACATTAAAACGAGAACAGCAGGACAGACGTAAGTGAGATAAGATTCAGAAATGCAGCTGGCAACAGAACATTTCTCTATCACAAAATATAAACGTAATGTTAATCTGAAATTTATTAGAAAAATGCTCTAAGTTATTACCAACAGAGATAAAATTCCATTACACCATATACTATTTATTAAAACATGACACTCTATATAACAAAGGGTCCTAATAATGGTCTATTCTAAGCCAAACCCCCCTACAGCTTAGTTTTCCTTAATGAAAAACATGTCATACTTTAAAATATCCTTACTGATGAAGAAGTTATTGCAATACCTATTACAAAACTGAACAAACCTACTGTTAGTTAACCACATATTGGACATGATGTAATATCCTTACCTAGACTTTGGTCTACATCTTCTCAAAAATAAATTGCATCAAATAAAAGGGATGCTGTGAAAAATACATGAGAACAAAAGCTAACATAACCGCAGGTGGAGCGGCTCAATCTTTACACCCTATAACTCCTGTAGATATTTTAATTTAAAAAATTAGCCTATGAAAGACATTAGCAGTGCATTTTCAATGAACTGATGAGATTTATACTCTGGAATACAAGCAACAAAGCCAGAAAGTATATTGTTTGTGTAAAGCTTCCATTAATTCCACACTTAGTGGATTATAGCTTTATGTAGGAAACATCTCATCTATAAACTACATAGTTCCTCCATAATTAGAGTAAAAACACTCTGAAAACTGCATCTGTCATACCTTTATCTGTATCTATTATACACTGATTGCAATTCATTGCTGTTGGGGAAAAACACCTACAGTTTATAATGAGAAATGAAGACAAACCAGAAAAAAAACGCCCACCGATGAAGCCCATCACCCGAAACGCTGCTACTGGCTACCTGGGCACGCGGTCGAGAACTGCTATAGCGCGGGGCGGGATGGGAGGGGCGGTGGACGCAGAGACTACAGACTGATGGGGACCTGAGGTCTGGATTCACATGGATCTGGAGATGGCTGACAAACACAAGGATGACAAGGAAGTCAAAACCGACCACGGGCGCACAGACTGTCAGCCAGCACACGGAACCGCAAACACAGGAAAAACACACACCACTGCTTTTACAAATGTGCGTGGAGGAAACACGCAAGAAACCACAAGGGAAACTGCCCAAGAGTTAAAATATTAGCTAATTAGCTAACAACGTAAATGAGAAAACAGTATGTCAACACACCGCAAAATAGGCTGCTTATCACTTTACATGCCACTGAAATGACTCGGAGTTGATTTAATTATACACTAACAATACAGCTACAAACGAACATGGATGGTAACAGAAAACGCTGTAACAGACAGCAGTGCAGTAAAAAGCAGAATGCCGTACATACGGTCCCACATGGAAAAGGGGCAGTGCTACCACAAACCCTTAACTAACACACCACGCAGCTGTAAAACGTTCTCAGAGCCAAGCCTTTGTTACCAACACCTGAAGATCACCCCGTGTCCTGAGCCTAGAGAACTCACCAGGCAGACAGGGAAGAAGCCCACCTGCTCTCTCAGGATGCCGTAAAGCCACCTGGCTTCCACAAGATGCGGACGGGAGGAAGCATACTGCCGAGTGCATTACTAAGAGGACCTACTAGCTTTTTCATGGACCTGCATGTCCCGTGCCCTTCAGTGAGGCACCTCTAATGTAAAGACAGATGCCAACCCCCTCTGTACACTGTCTCTATGCCATGAGGCCTGCCTATGCTAGTTTTATTTTTGTTAAACTGTCCATTCCTAACAACCAAAAACCAAACCCATGGCTATGGAGTTGACTCTGACTCACAGCAACCTTACAGGACAGGGTAGAACTGCCCCATAGGGTTTCCAAGGCTGTCATCTTTACGGAAGCAGACTGCCACATCTTTCTCCTGCAGAGGGGCAGGCGGGTTCAAACCGCCGACCTTTCAGTTGGCAGCCGAGAGCTTTAACCGCTGCGCCACCAGGGCTCCTTCTGTTGTTCCTAGAGAACAGAAAACACTCCCCCTTCTGGCTGCTGTCTATGCAAAGTCACATGAACACAGTCTTCTGATAGACAACAATGACACGCTCACGGGCTGTTCCAATACTGAAGTGAACTCGGCACAGTGCTATTTGTTGAAGGATTGAACACTAGCTGGTTTTAAACTCTCCAGCCTCTGAGGACAATGCAAGCACCTGCTGTCCTTCTGGGTGAACAAGCGCATCCATCAGGAACCGGACTTTAGCCAGGTGTGCTGGGAGCGAGGGGCGGGAAGGCAGATGCTTACTAGAGTCACGATACCCAGTCGGTCCACTTCCCTGGCTGGACTCTGGGGAATCCTTCTCGGGGTGGAGCGGCCGCTGCCTGGAGGGGAGGAGCCAGCCAGCGAGGAGGCGGGATAAGGGGGGATGGAGCTCATTGATCTAAAACGATCAAGATTGTCTAGACTCCCACTCCCGACTCTGCTCTCGATCTCCTCAGCCCGCTGCTCGGCACTCTCCTTCTCCTCCTGAATCAACCTGAAACAAAGCAGAGCAGGTCAGCCTTGCTCACCAGCCGTGAGACGAGAGTCCTTGGATCTCAGAACCCGAGTTCCTCCTCTGGGCTGTCATTAGTGTAACTCCAGCCACGAGATGCTCCGACAACAAGCAGTTCAGCAAACATGACCGACTTTCCATCTTTTTAGTCGACTGAATTTTGGAACAAGAAGGAAATCCTACCAAGTCCTGTAAAGTGGTTCTGATAAAATTTATGTTTGGTTTTACCTATGTACACTGAAACCTGGGGGAGTGCTGGCTGGTAACTCTTTCTAAGGTTTCACCTAATAGTTTCCTTACTGAACAATGAGAGACTTAAACCGTACAACCCACCTCCCCTTTCTTAAAGCAACCACTATCAGTTTCTTCAACTGGAAGTCAAGGACTTCGATACAACTACGGAGTTAATCCACACAGCAATCAGGGGTGTCCAAATACCTAAGTCTCTAGACTAAATGAAAATGCTGGGTTGAAATTTTTAAGTTTAAATTCAAACTAAGTATGATCTGATGGAATTCTCTACTAACCCCCATCTGACTTTCCTGACTCACGTCAACCATGCTGCATGAATTTGCAATTCAAGATTAACAGTCTTCCATCTTCAAGTGTAGTAAATAATTAAACAGCGGTTTTAATATTTGACTATGCCAATACTTATTCTAATATTAAAGTACCAGAACTCTGTAGAAAACTTTCCAATTAAAATTCTACTTATAAACCTTAAAGCAGAACTGTTATTAACAGAAAAAGAAACCTAAGGTCAGTGGTTGGAATTACCATTTATACTAGTTCAACTTGCTAC